GGGGACACTGGCAGGGGGGGCAGGGGGAGCACTGGGGACACTGGGAGGGAGATTGTTGGTCATGGAGAGGCTGAGGAGGAGGTTGGGTGGTCCTGGGAGGGCTGAGGGGGGCTGTTTGGAGTCGTGGGGGTGACTGGAAGGGAATTTGGGGGAGCCTGGGTAGGATGGCAGGGAGACTGGGGGGGGTTTGGGGTGACTGGGAGGAGGTTGGGGAAATCCTGGGAGGAGGTTGGGGAAATCCTGGGAGGAGGTTGGGGAAATCCTGGGAGGGCTGGGAAGGGACTGGGAGGGGTTCAGAGGGTCATGGGGATGATAGGAGGGGGCTTGGAGGGTCCTAAAGGGGTTGGGGGGGGCTTTGTGGGACCCCCGAGTGGTTGGGAAGGGACTGGCAGGGGGTTTCAGGAGGTGCTGGGTGGGCTGGGGGAGACCGGGACGGGGTTTTTGGCGGGTTCCAGGTGGTCTCTGGGAGGTTTTGGGGGTCCTGACACCCCCGGTTCCCCTCAGAGATGCCACAGGACACCGTCCACAGCAAGATCCTGGTGGGGGTCGGGGGCTTCGTGTTGGGTTTCGTCTTCCTGGCGCTGGGGCTCAGCTTCTACCTGCGGGAGAAGGTAAAGGGGGGTCCCTGGGGGTCGTTTCCCCCCTTCCCCAGAGCGTGTGTGCCCCCCCGGCCCCCCCAGCCCGCTGTCACCCCTTTTCTCTCCCCACAGAGCTCCTGAGCCGGCGGTGGCCGCAGCCCCTCCCCGTGGCCTCGGGCCCAGTCAGGACCCCCCAGTCCATCCCCAGCTGGAGTTTGGGGGGGTCGTGTGTCCCCCCCGGCCCTGCTTTTGTTCTCACACCAGCTGCCTGCTGCTCCCAGTGCTCCCAGTAAAGCTTCCCAGTTCTCTGCAGTCCTGGTGTTGAAGGGCAGGTGCCCTCCCAAAGCCCCCCCCAGAATCAGCTTATGCAAATTGTACAATGGTTGGCCCCCCTTTGTCTTTCTGCTTCTAAGAGTGTGTATTTTTCTGCCATGTCTGGTTCAATGTTTTCTCAGCTTAATGGCTCAAACTGTGTCTGCTTTGTTTAGGTTTAGATTTTGTTTGAATATTAGATCTAGGGTTCAGTATTGTCTAAGATACCTCCTAATCCAAAGGTGCACACACAGAAAGCTCTTGCTCTTTGTGTAGTGCCAAGAGTGGTGCAGCAACTGCACTAGAGAGGTGGTGAGTCAGGGTTAGGGTTAGTGTTAGGGTTAAGGATTTATGGTAAGGTTTAGCATTAGGGTTAGATTAGTATAGTAAGGTTTGGGTTAGGGTAAGGGACAGGGTTATGGTTAGGGGTTAGAGTGTAGCATTAGGTTTGGGTTTAGGGGTTTTTTTAAGTGTAGGTCTGGTGTTAAATATGGACAAAGATACCTGCCAGACTAAAGGTGCCCACACAGAAAGCTCTTTTTCTTTGTGCAGTGCCGAGAGTGGCTCAGCAACTGCACTGGAGAGACAGAGGCTCAGGGCTTTCTTTCCTGGGTGGAACTGCAGTGCACACCCCCTCAGTGCAGCCCCAAAAGTGTTCCATGATTGCCTTTGTGATGTCATGGCCTACCCTCTCCATTCCAGAATGACGCCTGAAAACCAAAGAACCAATGCACCACACCCCCACACTGCAGCCTTTCCTGTTTGCCATTGGCCTGGTTGTGATTTTAGGGCCAATCATCTCTATTCCAGAACGGCCCCTGGACACCAAAGAACTGATGCCTCACACCCCACGAATGCAGCCCAACATGTCTGCCATGGGACTCTGTGATGTCACAGCCTATCCTCTCCATTCTGGATTGGCCCCTGGAAACCACAAAACCAACATATCCCACCCCAGAGTACAGCCCAACCCATGTGCCATGGGCCCCATTCTGATTTCACAGCCTGTCCTCTCCATTCCACAGTGGCACCAGGAAACCAAGGAACCAACGGTTCCCATGCCACAGTGTAGCCCAAGCCATGTGCCATGTGCCCATGTGTGATGTCAGGGCATATCCCCTCCATTCCACTGTGGACGTTGGCAACCAAAGAACCAGTGCCCTACATCCCCACAGTGCAGCCCCACCCGTGTGCCCTGGGCCTTTTTGTGATGCCATGTGTACCAGGTTTGCAAGGATACCTGTCTGGAATAAAGACAAGTACAACAGTCATTCAAACACTACAAAATATCTTTTATTGCAGTGAGAGTAAAAAAAAAAACAAAACAAAAAACAACTCTTAGCAAAGAGAATCAAAAGGTAACAAAAAATACAAAAAAACCCACTTTATCTATTGGCATTCATACAATACTATGAACAGCATCTACTACAGTATTAATTAGTAAAAGGGGATTTAAAGGGACACAATACTAGCTAGTAAAAAGGGAATTAAAGGGATACAAGAAAAAGGATATAAAATCTTTACTTTTTTGGTTGCTTCCTA